AATGTTGAGGGTAAGATATTCTTCTCAGTCATGGCTCGCCGGCTCACACAGTATCTGATGACTAACAAGTACATAGATACGAGTGTTCAGAAGGGTGGTATTCCAGGCGTTCCTGGGTGCCTTGAACACGCGACCATGATATGGGAGGCTATCCAGAGAGCCAAGCATGAGAGAACCGATTTGCACGTTATATGGTTGGACTTAGCCAACGCCTACGGGGCAGTCCCCCATAGGCTACTGTGGCGAGCCCTTCGCATGTTTCACGTACCGACACAGATCAGTCAAATGGTCGAGCAATATTTCTCTAAGTTCGCTTTGCGCTTCTCTACCTCGACGTTTACCACGAGGTGGACTGAGTTGCAGATTGGGATAGCTATGGGGTGTACGATCTCACCTATACTGTTTGTCATGGCAATGCAGATCATGTTAGACGGGGCGGCCGGCTACGGACTGGGCCTTCAAATAGGGGATCACTGGTTACCGCCACTGCGCGCATTTATGGATGACACGACTATTATAAACGGGCAGCGAGGAGTCTGCCCGCACGATCCTGAATAGATTGGACGCGGTGGTCCAATGGAGCGGTATGCAGTTCAAACCGCAGAAGTCGAGGAGTCTGTCAATCCATAAGGGCAAGGTGTCGGCGACCAGTTTTACGGTGGCAAGGAACAAGATCCCTACGGTTCTGGAGGAACCGGTGAAGAGTCTCGGTCGCGTTTACGATTCGAAGTTATCTGACAGAGCGGAAGTCCGGCGAATACATGAGTCACTGGCTACAGGCCTGCTCGCGATCGAGCGATGCAGGCTGGTCGGAAAATTCAAGGTATGGTGTCTCCAATTCATGTTGATTCCGAAGCTTCTATGGCCACTGCTAGTCTACGAGGTGACGATGACTGCAGTGGAAACCATGGAAAAGAAAATCAATACAGCCTTAAGAAAGTGGATTGGTGCACCGCCTTGTCTGACCGACGTGGCTCTGTATTGTAAACAGGCTAAGCTGGTACTTCCGTTCAAGTCAATAACCGAAGAGTTTAAAGTCGGCAAAGTTAGGCTCGCCATGCTTTTGCGCGAGTCCTCAGACCCAAATGTCATCGCTGTCCAGCCCGCTCTAAAGACTGGCCAGAAGTGGAGAGTCCTCGATGCGATAGGATCTGCTCAGAACGCACTAAAATTGAAGGAGGTAATGGGTTACACACAAACCGACCGTCGAGGCCTAGGGCACGGGAAAGTCAATTGGTGGTCAAAGGCCTCAGCCAAAGAACGCCGAGACATGGTGATACAAACGGTGAGGGACAACGAAAACGAGGTTCGGGTTCCAGAAAGCAGCCCAGCAGTCGCAGCAGGGCCATTGGGTCAGCCTGGAGAGCGCATTGCCGAGAATACTCACATGGGGTGAGATCTGGCGGATGACCCCGCTGCGACTGAGCTTTATCGTTCGTTCGGCGTACGATGTATTACCGTCCGGTGTTAACATGGTTAAATGGTCTGCGACCAACGATCCGACTTGCCCGTTGTGCAAATCAAAGCAAACTCTTGAGCACGTCCTGTCCGCGTGCAGGAAAGCCCTAGGTCAAGGCCGCTATACCTGGCGCCACAACAAGGTGCTAAAAGAGTTAGCAGCCGTTGTCGACCAGGCTAGAATGAGGGCTAATGCCAGAGCCAGTTCTAGTATCGTCCCCATTCGTTTCCTCAAGGCTGGGCAGGTTCCAAAAGGTAATGTCAACAAAAACGCATTCGCTCCATCTGTGCTAGACTCTGCGAGGGACTGGTTACTGGCGGTTGATCTGCCAGGACATGAACGGTATCCCGAGTTGATCCGTAAAACCGGCCTGCGACCGGACATCGTTCTCCATTCTGCGCAAAAACGGCAACTCATCCTGATTGAGTTGACGGTCCCGTTTGAGTCGCGGATGGAGGAGAATCATTTGTATAAGCTCGAGAAATACAGTGATTTAGCAGCCGGTTTGAGGAGAAACGAGGCTTACACAGTGCGGGTATTTGCCGTCGAAGTGGGAGCGAGAGGCCTCGTTTCCACTTCGCTCTACAATGTGGTTAAAGAGTTAGGATTGCGCGGTAATGAACGGAAACGGGCACTCAAAAAACTTGGTGAGGTGGCCGAAAGGGCATCCAGCTGGCTTTGGACGCAGCGCAACAACGTAGGGGACGGGCCTCGGTGAGCTGGTCCGGGTATCTAGTGGAAAAGAGTTTCTTATCCCTTTGAAAAGTCCATCGTGTACGAATTGTCTGCCAGTGTCTCTCTGCCAACTGCTAATAAAAGTCCAAGATGTGTCCGGTAAACCAAAGTAAGCTTGTCGCTCGGTCGTCCAGGCATGCGGACTGTTCTAATTACGCTGCCGTGGCGGCTTCTTATCTCACAGTACCTCCTTCGAAACCACCAAGTCGTCTTGTCTCTGGCCGAAAGTATAACACCATCCGGTAATTCTGTGCGGCGGGGAAGCAGCCCTGAGCTTCATTTCAGTGTCCTGTCACTGCTGAATGCACGATTTTCACATTCCCACTTACTAGTGCTAGCCAAGGCATCAAGTTTTAAACTAAATTATTAAAAGTAGATAATTTAAAACACTGTTACTGATTCAGTTTGTTAATGTACAATCGCGTCCGACATTCTACGTCTGACTGTGAATGTGACTGAACTCACTGAACGTTCTTCTGGACGTTATAATCTGATAACAAGATCACTAGCAGGTATTCTGCGGTGTCCAGTGTCTGATTTTCTGCTGCATCCAATGGCATTAGTTCGTGGCGCCCATTGCGGAGAGATTCTCTGTAATCTAAGCTCTAACTGTCAGTACCGTGCTGGTATTTCAGAACGCCTCCTGTCCAATAAATATCTCACCTTCATTGAATGTCCAGTGCAGCGGTGGCCTTCACGCTTGTTACTTGGTATCTTTTTTTAAATTCATTATATGCATATTATCATATGAATATAATATGCTTATTGATAAAATACAGATGCAGTGTGAAAGACGGGTGTTTAGAAGGGCCGAATGTAACACGGGCCTGCGTGCCCAATTTGTGACCCTTTGAAAATAAAGTTCGTTCGTTCGTTCCTTCGTTCTTTCCAGCCTATCTTATTACCTTTGGCTTCGAACAGGCGAGCTTTGCTATTTGAGCGAACTGGGAATGAACTTTCACCCTGATCTAATTACCTTTTCTGTTCCTATGATGGTTCCCTTGTATCTTAGTATTTACAGATTCCTGACAAATACTTCCAATTGACACATTTGACACGACTGTTTCTTTTTTTTTTTTTTTTTTGAGAATATACAGAAACATTGATTGATTAAATTTTTGTTCTTTTCAACAACTATATTTCGCTACTTTGGCACTTGCTAGGCCTCGGCGGGCCACTTGCTAGGCCTCGGCGGGCCACTTGCTAGGCCTCGGCGGGCCACTTGCTAGGCCTCGGCGGGCCACTTGCTAGGCCTCGGCGGGCCCGATTTGGCCCTCGGGTCGCCAGTTGAATAGCCTTGGTGTAGACCTTCAGGTCGCCAGGATGTCAAACCTTCAGGTCGCCAGGATGTCAAACCTTCAGGTCGCCAGGATGTCAAACCTTCATGTCGCCAGGATGTCAAATCTTCAGGTCGCTATGATGTCAAACCTTCATGTCGCCAGGATGTCAAATCTTCAGGTCGCTATGATGTCAAACCTTCATGTCGCCAGGATGTCAAACCTTCAGGTCGCTATGATGTCAAACCTTCAGGTGGCCGGGCTGTCAAACCTTCAGGTGGCCAGGTTGTCAAATCTTTAGTTGTTTGGGTTGTCAAATCTTCAGTTGGGCAGACTGTCAAACCTTCAGGTGGCCGGGCTGTTAAACCTTTAGGTCACCAGGATGTCACCAAGGTGTTGACAATTAGGTCGCCAGGGTGTCAACTTTCAGGTCGCCAGGGTGTCAACCTTTCAGGTCGCCAGGGTGTCAAACTTTCAGGTCGCCAGGGTGTCAACCTTCAGATCGCCAAGAGTGTTCAGCCTTAAGGTGGCTGGGGTGTCAAACCGTCACGTGGTCGGACTGTCAAACCTTCAGGTGGTCGGGTTGTAAAACCTTTAGTTGGCCGGACTGTCAAATCTTCCGGTCGCCAGGGTGTCAAACCTTCAGGTCGCCATGGTGTCAAACCTTCAGGTTGCCAGGGCGCCAAACCTTCAGGTCGCCAGGGTGTCAAACCTTTAGGTCGTCGGGGTGTCAGCCCTTCGGGTCGTCAGGGTATCAAAGGAGGGGAAAAAAAACCAGCCAGTTGATAGTCAGTTGTAGACGCTGTGTCACGTTTGTTTTTTAGATGATGCGTTTTCATCGAAGGGATGTTGAACACATGATCATGTGGTGGGAGGGTAAATTGGTTAGCCCCTACCACCCACATAACTTTACGATTGTGATGAATATAGTAAATCGTAGGATAACAATGGTAGTGATGATGATGTTGATGAGAATGACAATAACAATATCGATGATGATTGCAACAATTGTTTTGATTTTTGCTCCTACAGGTTTGGCATGAAACAGACGTTTTGACCAAAAGTCACTCCATAATACATTCGTGACTCCTGCACCCATGTCTAGAGCCACTAGCCAGTTAGATATCTCGACCCAATTGTATAGAACCCACCTGTGACTTATAATGTCTTGTTGAACCCATTTGTACAACCCGGAAATTAAAACAGTCACGCAAGACTGATCGGTCGCTACCGCTGCAACAGTAACCGATGAGACCAGATGGACTGACGGAGCAAACCTAGGGTAGATCTGCGTCTGTCGTAGAGAGACGGAGCAAACCTTGGGTAGATCTGCGCCTGTCGTAGAGAGACGGAGCAAACCTTGGGTAGATCTGCGACTGTCGTAGAGAGACGGAGCAAACCTTGGGTAGATCTGCGCCTATCGTAGAGAGACGGAGCAAACCTTGGGTAGATCTGCGCCTGTCGTGGAGAGACGGAGCAAACCTTGGGTAGATCTGCGCCTGTCGTAGAGAGAACACAAGCATCGGACTATGGCGGAGCTTCTCTCGGTTCAGGTCAGTAACAAGTATTGGGCATATAGGGTTAGACCAATATTGTTGACACCAATCGGCTTTCGGTGGGTGATGTGTTCAACGTCTCGCTGGCCGACTTTACTTTCCATGTTTTATCTGGTGCCAATTTAAGGCTAGGTCGGCCTGGGAGCCAAGGTCATTTTTGAAAATAGTGAGGACTCAAACCCACATCCTTCGAATCCGCAGGAGAGTGTTTTCCCGCTACATAAGGGCGGCTTCTCTGGGTACAGGTAATTAGCAGTGACTTAATTAGCATTAACTCTTCTTTCTCTTCTTGGTCTTTTCTTTCATCTGGTTGTCTTTCAGCGTCAGGTTGTGAAGAAGAATCAGTTTCCAGCCTTGGTCAGTGTTCACAGATTCTGGTTTTTGCTGCTCTCTGTGGTACACTGTCTAGCGTTGAACTTGACACATGCACGAACCATTTGATCTGTTGTCTCTTGATGGCGTTTTGTTTCAGCTTATTAACTGAAATCGTCATTTGTGATCCAGTCTGTTCTGGTCACAGAAGCGTTAACACAATAGTGACCACAACAGCGGCGGCAGTTCAACAACAACAAGTGTCCCCAGAAGGCAAAGAGGCAAGGACCTTTGCGACTTAAGGCATAAAGCATATAAGGTGCTAACTACACATGATTACATCACCACAGCTCGAGTATCGCGACTTAAGGCATAAAGCATATAAGGTGCTAACTACACATGATTACATCACCACAGCTCGAGTATCGCGACTTAAGGCATAAAGCATATACGGTGCTAACTACACATGATTACATCACCACAGCTCGAGTATCGCGACTTAAGGCATAAAGCATATAAGGTGCTAACTGCACATGATTACATCACCACAGCTCGAGTATCGCGACTTAAGGCATAAAGCATATAAGGTGCTAACTACACATGATTACATCACCACAGCTCGAGTATCGCGACTTAAGGCATAAAGCATATACGGTGCTAACTACACATGATTACATCACCACAGCTCGAGTATCGCGACTTAAGGCATAAAGCATATACGGTGCTAACTACACATGATTACATCACCACAGCTCGAGTATCGCGACTTAAGGCATAAAGCATATAAGGTGCTAACTACACATGATTACATCACCACAGCTCGAGTATCGCGACTTAAGGCATAAAGCATATAAGGTGCTAACTGCACATGATTACATCACCACAGCTCGAGTATCGCGACTTAAGGCATAAAGCATTTAAGGTGCTAACTACACATGATTACATCACCACAGCTCGAGTATCGCGACTTAAGGCATAAAGCATATAAGGTGCTAACTACACATGATTACATCACCACAGCTCGAGTATCGCGACTTAAGGCATAAAGCATATAAGGTGCTAACTACACATGATTACATCACCACAGCTCGAGTATCGCGACTTAAGGCATAAAGCATATAAGGTGCTAACTACACATGATTACATCACCACAGCTCGAGTATCGCGACTTAAGGCATAAAGCATATAAGGTGCTAACTACACATGATTACACCACCACAGCTCGATGGATGACCTGGTTAGTATCATGCCTGCTACAGTTAGCTCCAGCTCTGTTCCCAGGAGTTCATTTCAGACTGGGCTGGTAAGTCTCCCAATCTTGAAGTGTGGTATTAACTCCGCCATGCTGCCAAACTACAATGATCATGAAATGACACTTTATCATCTATGACTGACGTCATTAGCGTCTGATGGGATCTGCTGGGGAGATAAGAGGACCTGCAAGAAGAACAGGAATTGATGTACTAAAGATTTTGTTTATCCTCAGTGAAAAGCGAAATAACTAATGTTTAAAATGATGCCGAAGATGATGATAACGATGATGGTGTTTGTATCAGGAGTTGAAGATCACATCTGTAAATAGTGTCTGTCTTTTATCTGACGTTTGGTTGATTCGACTGACGAACTAGTCGACCAATTTTGTTTCATGTGTCGGTTGAGACTATGCCAGGAATTTGTGTCGACAGCTGCAGTTCATATTCTAGTCATTTTATGTTCAGTTGGACAATATAAGCCTGTGTCGCTGTTGGATTTTTTGGTTTGTCAGTCTTCATGCTTTCTAATGCTGTGTAACTTGATCTCCATAGCTGTTACTATCGTGGAGTGGGTTGGGTGGGTTTAGGTCTAACACCCTCTCGCAGTTTACCTTTAATTCTCCTTAAAGTTCATGACGTGTGGCGTTGGTTGTTATTTCTATCCACAACCTTCTGCCTCGTGTACTTTCAGTCAACTCTGATACAGATGATCTTCCATAGTTCATGGCGTGTGGCGTTGGTTGTCATATCTATCCACAACCTTCTGCCTCGTGTACTTTCAGTCAACTCTGATACAGATGATCCTCCACGCCGTGTGGCGTTGGTTGTCATATCTATCCACAACCTTCTGCCTCGTGTACTTTCAGTAAACTCTGATGCAGATGATCCTTCATGCCAGATGACAAACTGTCCAGCGTCCTGTCTCTCAGTCTCCGTCTGCCTCTCTTTCCCTCCATCTTCTCTACGGTCACCATGTACTCCAGATTTCTTCTTCTTATGAAATGGCCACAGCATGCAGATATTCTTTTTCTGAGGTGGGCAGTTCTCATTGTGAATCAATTTATTTATTTTTTTATTATCTGACCAGGGAAATCTCATCATTCGTCTACAAAAGGACTTCCAAATAATTTTGAACTAATCCGCTAACTGTTCGTGATTCCCTTCCGTATTTCAAAATATGATTTGTATAACTTTTAAGAATTCTCTTGCTCACCTGCACTGACAAAGAAAGATTGCCTACACTATTCCTGATTGTGTTATCTGCTGCCTTTGCTTGAGCTGTTCTGCATTGAACTTCTGTAACCCGTTGACCTCACCAGGTACAAATTCCGAAATACCTGGGACATATTCTGAGCTCGGGAGTGTCGGATTGCGTGGAAAATGGGATCAAAGAGAAGACCTGCACCTCTTACCTGGCCAAGCACAAACCGGTCGACATCAAATTTATCAACCTGAACTATTTTGCTAAGAATGGCCATAGCGCCAAAGGTGAGACTTTATACTATTTTTTGCCTAGAAAAACTACAACAGCAAAAAAATGCTAGGTAAGAATCAATGGTCTTTAGTGATGAGTTCATTAGGGTAATTGGATCGGACTGGTTAGTTTCTTCATCTACCAATTTCAACCGGACTTCTGGAGCTTTAAAGCGAGCATGTGGTGGTAGGTTTCTTGCATCATTCAGAGTGCCTTGACGTCTTTCTGGGAGGTGGTATCTGTCCTGCATTTCATGAACACAGTGTTAAACCGATTTGTGCTGCTTTATTATTTGTTTGTATTCCCAAGTTATAAACGAAGTCCGGTTATGTTTTTGTCATCTACCCACCGTGTGCCAGCGACGCCGGAGTTTTTGCTTGGAGCTGGGCTTTACTTATCACTGTCAGTCTTCTGTAGATGTGACATGGCGTTCAACAACCATGGTTGCTGTCTCAAAAGTTGTTGGTACCTTTCCGTCTTTCCAAACGACAGTGTTATGTTGCTCTCTCGCAGCCAATGGCAATGGCGAGTGTGACTAGCAAGACCTGCCCGCGTTAAAGAACATTCTTTCAGAACTAGAGTATGGCATTTCAGGACCGCCGTTGCCATAAAGAATATTTACTACGTTTCTTCTGAGAGACTCAACTCTCAGCCTTTCTGCATTCACGTCTTCCTTCATTCTCATTTCTTCTCTAATTTGACCCCTCCATGCAACACAGTCTATGGTATTTTGTTCCCACGAATCTACCTGAATAACTGTATCGTTCATGTCTCGCCTGCACACATCTTTACATCGCAGTAGAAATCAGCCTCGATATCTTCTACCCATCTGCAATTCACCTTAGAGGGTGTCCTTGGAGGAAACTGCTATCCTCCATTTTCCAGACATGACTAAACCAACTGAGCCTCCTGAGACAGATCCTTGAGAAAACTATTGTAATACCTGCTCCTTTCAATACTTCAATGTTTGTGATCTTGTCCTGCGTCTTAAGTTTTCTTCTTAGACATCACACGTGAAAGCTGTTTAGTCGTCTCTCCTGGCGCGAAGGAGCCTAAAGGAAGAGTGCTGAGAACACAACCTTAGTAGGCAACAAGAGCTTTTAGTTGTCTCAAGAACGATACCAAAAAGACCACACATCAGAGGGGTCACAGAGTTCTACATGACCTACTTACCTGACACAGTCCTGTTGCAGTTTCTTGTAGCTTGGGTTGTGTTGTTTTTGTTTTTCTCTGGCGCTGTCTTACATACAGTTGTAATCACACACACACGCGCGCGCACACACACACACACACACACACTCGACATTTTTCTAGCATTTCCTATACCTATATATAACCTTTACTTAAGATGGCTCAGGTGATCTAAAGAAGTAAAACTCCACGGCTCTATGACAAAACAAATGATCTCCAGGGCCAGATTGGGCATATTTTTGTATGGAGGTCATCTTGAGGCTCGGCAAATGTCACTCTGGGTGTCACATACCGCTCGTGTCGCGTGCCTGATTAAAGGATGGCTCCTTAAGAACCAACAGCACTCTGAAATAATAATGTTGAGGCGTCGGCTCGTATTGGTCTAAGGGAGATTCCGTGGCCAATATACGCTCAACTTATTTCAGGAGTAGGGCAACTCAAGCTCTGGCACTACAGAATATCTAATATTCCTAGGCACACTTGGCTGGACTACTATAAAAAGATAGCCCCCAGGCTATGATAGTATACTATCATAGCCATGTTAACACAGATTACACTTACTAATCACACAAACATAAAAGTTAGACAGTTAGAATGGTGAAACAGGGACACCCAAGTCAGCCATGAAAATTTCTGAATGGGCGTAATAATTTCAACATATATATATATGTATATATAACAAGACAATCAAGATGGTTTCCAGTGAATGGAGTTCAGGACTTAACGTCACAGCGATGATGTTGAAACAGCCAGATATAGTTCACAGAGTACATGAATCATCACAGTGAATCATAGGTAGCCATGTAAATAGAGCATGTGGTATGTCATCTCAGATGTTACTTATCCGATTTGGGAGGTCACTGCTCCCCTCAGTCCATGGTGATTTGAAACGGCTGACTCAATAGATCGCTTTGCCTTGGCTTGATCTGGTAAACACTGATCGTCTCACATATGAGGACAAAGGAACTGCACTGGAGCCCAACAAAGCTCCTGAAGAAGGATTCCTTGGATTGATGACATAGGTGGCGTGCAATACTGTCTCTCAGCCACTGGAACTCACACACAAGCTCGTGCCATGTTGAAGTTGTGGCAACAATAGGTAGGATTTTGGGTAGGTTTGATAATATGGATGGTATGGGTTGGTGATAGTTGGCTGGACTGTGACTCGTTTGCCTGATCTCTAAGGAGATATAATCCCAAGCTTAGGAATCCTTCAAAGATTAAACTGGTATTTTGAATGCGCCAAAGTTTAATGAGAGAATTGAATTGTCTCTCGACACCTCAGAGGTCGGGCAAAAGAATGCCCGCCCCAGATTCCGCTTGGCGTCTCTGGAAAAGAAGTCCTGTATTCGTGCCCAAGGAGTAAAAAGGCTTACAGGAATTTCTGAATAATATTCAAGAAATATCTATCCCACAGTTGCAAGTTTGAAAATGTAGACTTCTCAAAACAACTAGAGGGTCTATAAATGTTTATTTCACCAGATAGAGGTATATATGAGGGACTATATACCCCCCCCCCCCCGGACGGGTTTAAATTTGAAATGTGACGTGCCCGCTAGGGATGTCAGCGTCACGAAAAGTCCACAGTGTAGGGTTGGCTGTTCACTCCACGACACTGGGTCAAGGGAGGCTCGGGTGGTTGAAGGTCACCTGGTGGCTTTAATTAAGCTCTCGTGGAGCCTTGTGATGTGGCTAACGGTAAATTTTACACTGGTCTCCCCATTTACACACCGCTACACACTGATTGGACGAAGTACAGCCCACCTCACCCCTGATAGGTCGACCTCGAGCTATCTGACTTTCCCACAAGGTCAGAGGGATATTCCGCACTCACGCTAATACCGCGTGCTGTATATTTCACCATGCCAGAGCTTTTACCACTTCTAAAACATTTAGATACTGGGTCTAACACACAACTTCCCTAGAGAGTGACAAAATCTGTCACAGGCAGTCTCTTTCTCGGAAATAAAAACGTAAATGCCAGACAGCAACAGACTGCGACACCCATAACCTCGACCACGGTAGACTAGTCCAACAAACTTATCAGTGGAGTTGACCTACAAACGATGGTGTGCAAATGGGGAGACCATCGTATAAATAACCTGGCTGACAGAATAGGGGATCTGAGAGTTTTAAGGGCAGCGCGAGCAGGGGCGGGCAGTACGGGGGCTTCTTCAGGGGTTGTGTAGTAAAATAAAGAAAAATAGGGTACTGATTGGCTTGGCTGCAGGGGAATAGAAAGTGTGTATATATATATATATATATATATATATATATATATATATATATATATATATATATATAATAGTAGAAATATATAAAAGTGATCAAATTTAGCGATTTGACAATGGACTTATGTAAGTTATATACTAGAACGAAGGCAAACTTGGCAACATCATCATCTGACGGTTGCCTTAACCATCGACCTCACTGTGCCATAAGTGACTGCGTTTTTGCACAAAGTAAAAAGAACGATTTCAAAAAGCAGTCTGCCTTTAAGACCAACTAGTCGCCCTTGAATCCTACAGTCTTCTCCCACCTGATCGATTGCCTGTCTGTGTCATAAGTGACTTTGTCTTAGTGTACTTTTACAAATCTGGTTAACTTTTCTTCACGTAAGCAATCTTGATATCTTATGAGCTGATCACGTGACCATTATTATTTAAAAAGTTAAAAAAACTTGAACGGCGAGAATAAGGCAACCTCAGATGACCTCGTAAAAAATGCCAAAATACGCCAAATATAGTAGCGTTCCACCGCCGGGTCGGCTGGTGGAAATATTGTTTCTCATATAAAGATCTAGAGCCATGTCGTTTTGCCTCTTTAGATCATCAACCATCACGAAGATATTAAAAGACAAGTGTGGTACCAGAAAGACGGGCAAAGGCAAGAAAAAGGGTACCGCTTGGTGGAATGAAGAAGTCAAAGAAGCAGTGTCAAATAAAAAGAAGATGTTTCAAATATGGTTAAAAACAAAAGACGAAAAGGATTACATTAGGTACAGACTAACTCGAAGAGACACCAAGAGAACAATAAAGAAATCCAAAGAGGAATCATGGAAAAAGTATGGTGAACACCTAACACAGCTATGTACAGAATCACCAAGAGACTTTTATAAGAGTGTGAAAGCGATGCGATTAAGAGAAGAAAAGCTTCAATCCAACATCAGTCATAAACGATAAAAATGGAAAACCATTATTCAGCCAAAAAGAAATTAAAAAAAGATGGGAGGAATATTTTAAAGAACTTTTGAACCCGTCGGGAGTACATGAAACAGCAGAATTCCCATTCAAGGGCTCCAGATCATCTAGAACCACATATCCTGCGGGATGAAGTAGAGAAAGTTATCAAAACAAGTAAAAGACACAAAGCAGCTGGTATCGACAGAATAACAACAGAAGTCATCCAGGCTGGAGGGGGACACTATGATCACCTGGCTGGAGAGAATTTTTCAATAGAGCATGGGCAGAGAGAAAGGTACCAGTGGATTGGCAAAGATCAGTTGTAGTAGTACCTATCTGGAAGAAAAAAAGGAAACAAGAGAGAATGTGGAACTTATAGAGGAATATCTTTACTAAGTCATGTGGGGAAAATGTATGCAAAGATCTTAGAAGGTAGGATAAGAGCAAAGGTTGTTGAACCTCTACTGAGTAAAGCACAATTCGGTTTCAGGAAAGGGCGAGGTTGCACTGATGCCATATTTGCACTAAGACAAGTCTGTGAAAAGACACTCGAATACGATAAAGAGCTGAACGTGGTCTTTGTAGATCAAGAGAAGGCATTCGACCGTGTAGACAGAGATGTGCTGTGGAGAATTCTTGACGATTACGGAGTGCAGGGTCAATTATTAGACAACATCAGAGCCCTCTATGAAAAAAAGTGAAAGTGCAGTAAGAACATCTAGTGGTCTTTCTGAATGGTTCAAAGTCACAACTGGTGTCAGGCAAGGATGTGTACTGTCACCATTACTTTTCATAACATACATGGATAAGATCACTGTAGAAGCAAACCCCAGACGTGTATGCTATAAACGAATTACTTTTTGCTGATGATCAAAGCATACTGTATCAAAATGAATATGATCTACAGGAACATCTGACTACTCTCAACAACAGCTGTTTACAACATAATATGAGAATCAGTACAGAAAAAACAGAAGTTATGAAGATCAGCAGAACACACAGGCCACTGAATATAAATGTTGGAAGTGCCAAAAATCAAGCAAACCAAAGAGTTCAAATACTTGGGCAGTATATTTACAGAGGATGGAAGAATGGACAGAGAGATAGAAACAAGAATACAGAAAGCAAATGCTGTCACATACCAACTATCACCTCTGCTTAAACATCCAGATATAACCATGAAGACCAAAAGACAATTGATAAACACCATCTTCATTCTAACACTCTGCTACCAGTGCCAGACATGGACAATCAACAAGACCCATGAAAGAAAAATAGAAGTCTGTGAAATGAAATGTCTAAGAAAAGCAGCGAATAAGACCAGACTAGACAGGATAAAGAATATAGACATTAGAAACACTGTCAAAACTACACCATGTTTAGACTACATAGAACATCAAAGAATGAAATGGTTTGGACATCTAACCAGGATGAAAAATGATCAAATAACATCACAAATTTTCAACCAAAGAAGCTCAGGATATAAGGCAAGAGGAAGACCAAGGAAACTGTGGATTGACGGGGTCTCCGAAACCTGCCAAAAGCATGGCCTCAGAACATCAGATGCTGCCCGCCTTGCTTATGACAGGAACTTGCATCTCCCCACAACGCTTAGCGGCATACGTGGAAGGAAAAAGTAAAAGTAAGTAAGATCATCTGAGCCACCTGAAGCAAAGGTTATATAAGGGAAATGCCCGATTTTTTAAATAGAGATTTTGTTAGAAAGCACTACTATTGTATTGTCTTTTTCTATCTTATATTCCACAAATTCTTCCCTAACAAGCATACCATAAAGAGCGACGTTAGTGTTTTGCGGATGTGTTGGGTCAAACGGTGGATCTGTTCATCTGTCTGACCACCACTGACTCTAGAACTTTTCCAATTCTCGTTACTTCAGTTATCACTTTGCGTTCCCGTTTCCATCTCGCTGTTGTTTAGATTTGATCCCTTCCTACCCCACCGAACTCCTCTCCCCTAAATCTATCGCTATGTTAATTGATCTCACCATGTGGATTCTTGATCTTTGTTTAGGAGAACATGAATTGACCCACTGTCCCCCTAAGAAGCATGTCGTAAAAGTAGACAAAAAAGGGATGTTTTCTTTCGCTTAGGAATCCACAGCATACAAACAGGCAAGAGCTGTAAAACGGATGTGCACGAAAAACTCAGTTTCTAAAACAAAACTACAGTCAGGACTTGGATGAACAACTAAAACTTTACACCAGAGTTGACAGCCGGTGAACCACCAAAGTTGACAGCCGGTGAACCACCAGAGTTGACAGCTGGTGAACCACCAGAGCTGACAGCCGGTGAACCACCAGAGTTGACAGCCGGTGAACCACCAGAGTTGACAGCCGGTGAACCACCAGAGTTGACAGCCGGTGAACCACCAGAGTTGACAGCCGGTGAACCCTCACAAGAAGGTGTTCACTGACCAAATCCTCTTCCCCTGTCTCAGAGTATGCCACTGTATGACGTCACTCCTCGCCTTCAGTCTGTGTCTCCCTTTCCCTATCTAGTCCCCTCATTTGTTCCATTTTCTCATTAAACCACATGTTTCTGTGTCTGTGTGTGCTTCTGCTCTGTAGCATGCTTACATTCTGTGGCGTATAGTTAGCGTGTTGGCTCACCAGCTCGCTGATCACGTGCTCAAATCCTTGTGATGGTATCAGGAATTGACCTAAGCTAAAATGTTGCTAGGAATTGACCCAAGATACAATGGTAACAGGAACTGACCCCGGTTAAAATGGTACCAAGAATTGACCCCAGTTAAAATGTTACTAGGGACTGACAAAAGCTGAATCCGCTATTTTACACCGATTTTTTATCATGTTTGTTCTGTTTAATGTTCTATTCTACATCGATGTGTTGACATGTTTGTTCTGTTTAATGTTCTATTCTACATTGATGTGTTGACATGTTTGTTCTGTGTAATGTGCTATTCTACATCGATGTGTTGACATGTTTGTTCTGTTTAATGTTCTATTCTACATCGATGTGTTGACATGTTTGTTCTGTTTAATGTTCTGTTCTACATCGACGTGTTGACATGTTTGTTCTGTTTAATGTTCTATTCTACATCGATGTGTTGACATGTTTGTTCTTTGTAATGTGCTATTCTTCACCAATGTGTTAACATAATTGTTTCTCTTATTGTTCTGTTCTACACCATTGTGTTGACATGTTTGTCCCCTGTTATGTTCTGTTCTATTAAACTTTTTGACATGTTTGTTACCTGTAATGTTCTATCCCTCATGGATGTGGTGACATGTTTATTGCCTCTAATGTTCTATTCTACATCAATGTGGTGAAATTCTTGTTCCCTGTAATGTTCTGTTCTACACTTTTGAGGTGACATGTTATTCCACCTAATGTTATATTCTACATTGATATGTTGACATGCTTGTTTACTTTTCTCTTCTATGCCATTGTGTTGACATGCTTGTTTACTTTAATTTTCTCTTCTATGTCATTGTGTTGACATGTTTGTTCCCTGTATGGCTCTATTCTACACGAATGTGGGGAACATGTTTGTTCCCTGTAAGGTTATATTCTACATTGGCGTTGTTACATGTTTGATGTTTATGGCAGGAAAGAAAGCCATCTTGAGGAACATCTCTGGCAAATTCAAGTCTGGGGACCTAACAGCCATAATGGGACCCTCTGGTGCTGGCAAGTCTTCGCTGATGAACATTCTGGCTGGGTACAGGTGAGTTCATCTTCTTGTGACTGACAGGTGTGTGTATGTTCTCAGTGCTAGAGATGGATGTATGTTCTTGTGATTGACAGGTGTGTGTATGTTCTCAGTGCTAGAGATGGATGTATGTTCTTGTGATTGACAGGTGTGTGTATGTTCCCAGGGGCTAGAGATGGATGTATGTTCTTGTGATTGACAGGTGTGTGTATGTTCCCAGGGGCTAGAGATGGATGTATGTTCTCGTGAATCGCAGGCATGTGCATGATATTGTTCGTTACATGTGGATTAATGTTCATATGGGTCACAGGTCGGTGTTTGTTCTTATGATGAGTGGAAGTGTTCTTGTGGGTTACAGATAGGTTATTGTTCTTGCAGTTTACATGCCAATGTTTGTTCTTGTGGTATATATTTGTGATAGGCTGGAAAACGACAAAGACTACTGTTCAGCAGCTCAACGATTTTGATTTAACCTGGTTTAAAAATGACAAAGAGGCCACAGGAACAGCTTTTAGTTTTAGACAATAAAATGGGAAAAAGTCTGGCCACTGGGTATAAAAAGGCGAACTGACTCAGTATTTGCCTCCTATTTGACTTCCGGATGCACCCTGTGGAGACCTACCCGGCTGTTGTAGCTCTGCACTTGGAGCTCGACAGCATCGGTGTGGGCGACTACAGGTGAAGGCTGGTTGTCAAGCTGATTTGGCAGGTGGTGGTACGTTTCCATATTTAGTCCTGAAATAGTAGTCTCTAGTAGTTATACTGTGTAATATGTGGTTGTGTATTCTCACTAGCATGGCAGGTAGCTATAAGCGATTTGTTGGTCTGGTGGCATTTTGAAGCTCAACGTACATGTTAAATATGTTTCAGTTGTTGCCATTGTTGAGGTAATCTCGCTGAGCGTAAGGGTTCATTATCATACTTCTTTGTTAGCTGATAATAAGTACTTTAGATTCTGGTCGACAACGTTGGTTGTTGTTAATGTTATTTGTGGACGACGCTGATTTTATGTTAAGTGAAATAAACAGATGTTCAATTTAGTAATCATAGTTCCAGTTGTTTTTCAGTCAGATTAGGACTTGTAGTTAATGTGCCTAGTTTAGTATTTGTTGCTTGGCTGATCTAGACTTTACACAAAAGATTTCCTGTCAGGGTGAGATACTTTTGATCTTACCCCCGCCTACACGAACTTTTTTTTTTCATGTTACTGAGGCAGCTTAAGGTTGGGTTTTGGCTCCCACTCACCACGTCACATTGTTAGAACTCTTGTAGGTTCAGAGTCGAAGAGATTTTAAGGAGTAGATTTCCATATTATCGTTTATGGTTATCTCTTCTCTTTCACCCATTACAAGATACCACCTCTGCATTGTTTCTAGTACATATTTATGTACCTAACATGTGAGATATCAATAGGTTTTGTTGTTGTTGATTAGAGGCAGGTTTTGTTTTTGTCCAGTTACGCAATGGTGTGTACTCTTGTATATTTTAGGAGGGTTATTGTCTTTTGTATAACAGGTAGATTTTTTTTTTGTGTGTGGGATATATATTGTTCTGAGCTTTGTGTTCTTGTAAATTACAGGTGGGTTATTGGGTTCACATGTACTTATACATGCTTTTGTTGAATCCCCACGGCATCAGGTGATAACTGTGTTATCTTTGCGTGATAATCCTTTTATCTTTTTGTAACAATACTGTTTTATTTTGAATGTTTCTGATAATGCTGTGATCTGTTTGTGATAATGCTGTGATCTGTTTGTGATAATGCTGTGATCTGTTTGTGATAATGCTGTGATCTGTTTGTGATTTTCAAGTTATCTTTCCAGGACATTTATGTTTTCTTTTTTTGTCTGACAACATTGTGATCTTTTTGTGTGTGTGACAACACTGTGATCTTTGTGTGTGTGTGACAACATTGTGATCTTTTTGTGTTTGACAACATTGTGATCTTTTTGTGTCTGACAACACTGTGATCTTTTTGTGTGTGTGTGACAACACTGTGATCTTTTTGTGTCTGACAACACTGTGATCTTTGTGTGTGTGTGACAACACTGTGATCTTTTTGTGTGTGACAACACTGTGATCTTTCTGTGTGTGTGTGACAACATTGTGATCTTTTTGTGTTTGACAACATTGTGACCTTTTTGTGTCTGACAACACTGTGATCTTTTTGTGTGTGTGTGACAATACTGTGATCTTTTTGTGTGTGACAACACTGTGATCTTTTTGTGTGTGACAACACTGTGATCTTTGTGTGTGTGTGTGTGACAACACTGTGATCTTTTTGTGTGTGACAACATTGTGATCTTTTTGTGTTTGACAACATTGTGACCTTTTTGTGTCTGACAACACTGTGATCTTTTTGTGTGTGTGTGACAACACTGTGATCTTTTTGTGTGTGACAACACTGTGATCTTTTTGTGTGTGACAACACTGTGATCTTTGTGTGTGTGTGTGTGACAACACTGTTATCTTTTTGTGTGTGACAACATTGTGATCTTTTTGTGTGTGACAACATTGTGATCTTTTTGTGTGTGACAACATTGTGATCTTTTTGTGTGTGACAACATTGTGATCTTTTTGTGTGTGACAACATTGTGATCTTTTTGTGTGTGACAACATTGTGATCTTTTTGTGTGTGACAACATTGTGATCTTTGTGTGTGTGTGACAACATTGTGATCTTTGTGTGTGTGTGACAACACTGTGATCTTTGTGTGTGTGTGACAACATTGTGATCTTTGTGTGTGTGTGACAACATTGTGATCTTTTTGTGACAATTTAGGACCAGAAATGTGACAGGGTCTGTGCTGGTGCAGAATTCTGAAAGAGACCTGAGGACATTTCGTAAAATGTCCTGCTACATCATGCAGGACGATGAACTGCTGCCTCATCTGACGGTGGAGGAGGCCATGATGTGTTCAGCAAACCTCAAGCTGGATGAGAAGTTGCTGGTGCATGAGAAGAGAGAGATGGTGAGTGGATATAATCTTCTTCCATTTGAATGCAGAACCAACAAACAAAGTCACTCTATTGCTAAAGGGTCACAAGTGTGACTGACAGGTTTGTGTGACATTCAGGCCTTCCCATCAGTTATCTCACCCACAGCTCATCTGATATTGTGTGTTTATATGACAATATAGAAAATATAAATAGTGAGTACAAAAATAATTGCTTAGCACGACAAATAATGATAACACACACACACACACACACACACACACACACACACACACACACACACACACACACATATATATATATATATATATATATATATATATATATATATATATATATATATATATATATATATATATATATATATATATATATATACACACACACACACACACACACACACATATATATATATATATATATATATATATATATATATATATATATATATATATATATATATATATATACACACACACACACACATATGTGCGTAGACACACATACACACACACATACATATAAACACACATGTGTACATAGACACACACACACACACAACTACACAGTTGCAAGAAGTAGACAGGGTTGGCCGGCAAACAGACTGTCCGCTGTGGCAGTTTGGAGGTGTCAGGTTCAAATTCTGCAAACAAAGAAACAGTCTGACCTGTTGAAACCCCATCAAGACTAAGCTGTGTGGTCAGTCAAGTCAGTCAGGGACTCTTTGTATGCCAGTGGGAATTTGATTATTTCTTATTGTCTGTATGGACTCAATTTAACGTGAAGACTGATGAGGTTAACATCAGGCCAGCCAACTGTTGCTCAGGTTGATCTTAACAAAACAACAAAACCATGATCGGCTAGGTGTGGCTTTGAACCTAGCTCCTTTCGGCTAGCAAACCAGCATTGATCTTCTATGCTACCACAACTTCCAAGCTGCATGGTGCACAGGGAGATTTGAACTGCATGAGGGTTTTCCTCCGGGCTACTGGCCTCTAAAGTTTTTTGGTGGGATGATCACAGAACCCACGAGCAATCAAAAGCTAATTTTTAAGGGTCACAATTGGACATGTAGACCCTTACATTCAATCCTTCCGGGAGCACTAGCTCGGATTTCACACATCATTTGTGTTTTTATCTAAAAAGCATGTAGGGTTCATGTAGCAAAATATATAGATGAGTACAGGGTGAAAATACACAAGTATGAATGTCAAATACATAAATTTCCCTATACACACATGCATACATACACAAAAATGTTCATACTTACACACAGCCATGTATGTACACATACTTACCTACACATACACGGATTCACACTTGCATGCATATGCACCCCCACATACACATTAATGTATACAAACACACTCATACATACATAACCATGCTCAGAAAAAAAAAAAGAGGAAGAAGGTTCAAAACTGTAATGCAGTCACAATAAAATTAAATGTGTATGTTTAGCTTGTTCTATACTCTTTATCTCCTCAAGCGTGTCCTCAAATAACCATCTCTTTGATATTCAGGTCAGTGAAATCCTAGAGACACTCAGCCTTAGTGATGTTAAGAGGACCCGAACCTGCAATCTGTCAGGTGGCCAGCGCAAGAGGTTATCTATTGCCCTAGAGTTGGTCAATAACCCACCTGTCATGTTTTTTGATGAGCCAACCAGGTATGTTTTTGTGTTTGTATGTTTGTGTGTTTGATTGTATGTTGTGCATTTAGAGTTTTGTTCTCTCCTGCCGTTTAAGATGGACTGAACTCAAATGTTAAAGAATGAGGTCACCCCCAGTCACATTTTGTGTAAATCTTCAAGGATTTTTCTAAAACAAAACTAAAACATTAAAAAGATTCATCATTTGCTTGTATGGTGGAGGAAGCTGATCAGACAACAGCATCAGGTCACTCAATGTCACTCAAAATTATGGGACGGTGACGATATGGAGGATCATATGCTCAGTGATGTGTCAGGTAGACATTCTTACCTGGGAGCCATCTGTTCAGCTCACAAAAACTGCCAGAATTCTCAGAATTCTCTCAGATAAAACAGAACTCAGCAGAGATCAGAAACTTCTAGGAGGCAAAATCTGTTTACTAACCACCAGAAGGAAGAAAGTTTCTGTCTTAGTAGACAAATATCTTACTTACATTGTTGAAGATAAAATAATGAAACCATTGAAGGATGGGTGATAATTGTGACAAAGGAGAGAAAGTGATGATACAGAAACAACAATGCAGCAATAGTTGCAGTAACAGTAGCAGCAGGATCTTATATCTTAAGCAAAATGTTATTACTAAAGTCGCTAACTTACTTACATGAATATGTCTGTCAGTGGTCTGGACAGTGTCTCATGTTTCCAGTGTGTGTCGCTGCTGAAAAAGTTGGCCGAAGGTGGGAGAACAATTATCTGTACCATACACCAGCCCAGTGCTAAACTGTTTGAGATGTTTGATCATGTAAGTCAATTATGTTTTCTATCATAATGTTTGTTGAGATGTTTGATCATGTAAGTCAATTATGTTTTCTATCATAATGTTTGTTGAGATGTTTGATCATGTAAGTCAATTATGTTTTCTATCATAATGTTTGTTGAGATGTTTGATCATGTAAGTCAATTATGTTTTCTATCATAATGTTTGTTGAGATGTTTGATCATGTAAGTCAATTATGTTTTCTATCATAATGTTTGTTGAGATGTTTGATCATGTAAGTCAATTTTGTTTTCTATCATAATGTTTGTTGAGATGTTTGATCATGTAAGTCAATTATGTTTTATATCATAATGTTTGTTGAAATGTTTGATCATGTAAGTCAATTATGTTTTCTATCATAATGTTTGTTGAGATGTTTGATCATGTAAGTCAATTATGTTTTCTATCATAATGTTTGTTGAGATGTTTGATCATGTAAGTCAATTATGTTTTCTATCATAATGTTTGTTGAAATGTTTGATCATGTAAGTCAATTGTGTTTTCTATCATAATGTTTGTTGAGATGTTTGATCATGTAAGTCAATAATGTTTTCTATCATAATGTTTGTTGAGATGTTTGATCATGTAAGTCAATTATGTTTTCTATCATAATGTTTGTTGAGATGTTTGATCATGTAAGTCACTTTTGTTTTCTATCACAATGTTTGTTGAGATGTTTGATCATGTAAGTCAATTATGTTTTCTATCATAATGTTTGTTGAAATGTTTGATCATGTAAGTCAGTTATGTTTTCTATCATAATGTTTGTTGAGATGTTTGATCATGTAAGTCAATTTTGTTTTCTATCATAATGTTTGTTGAGATGTTGGATCATGTAAGTCAATTATGTTTTCTATCATAATGTTGGTTGAAATGTTTGATCATGTAAGTCAATTATGTTTTCTATCATAATGTTTGTTGAAATGTTTGATCATGTAAGTCAATTAGGTTTTCTATCATAATGTTTGTTGAGATGTTTGATCATGTAAGTCAATTATGTTTTCTATCATAATGTTTGTTGAGATGTTTGATCATGTAAGTCAATTATGTTTTCTATCATAATGTTTGTTGAGATGTTTCATCATGTAAGTCAAATATGTTTTCTATCATAATGTTTGTTGAGATGTTTGATCATGTAAGTCAATTATGTTTTCTATCATAATTTTTGTTGAGATGTTTGATCATGTAAGTCAATTATGTTTTCTATCATAATGTTTGTTGAGATGTTTGATCATGTAAGTCAATTTTGTTTTCTATCATAATGTTTGTTGAGATGTTTGATCATGTAAGTCAATTATGTTTTCTATCATAATGTTTGTTGAGATGTTTGATCATGTAAGTCAATTTTGTTTTCTATCATAATGTTTGTTGAGATGTTTGATCATGTAAGTCAATTATGTTTTCTATCATAATGTTTGTTGAAATGTTTGATCATGTAAGTCAATTTTGTTTTCTATCATAATGTTTGTTGAGATGTTTGATCATGTAAGTCAATTATGTTTTCTATCATAATGTTTGTTGAAATGTTTGATCATGTAAGTCAATTTTGTTTTCTATCATAATGTTTGTTGAGAGTAATTGTGTTTGATCATGTAAGTCAATTATGTTTTTCTATCATAATGTTTGTTGAGATGTTTGATCATGTAAGTCAATTATGTTTTCTATCATAATGTTTGTTGAGATGTTTGATCATGTAAGTCAATTGTGTTTTCTATCATAATGTTTTGTTGAGATGTTTGATCATGTAAGTCAATTATGTTTTTCATCTATCATAATGTTTGTTGAGATGTTTGTTGATCATGTAAAGTCAATTATGTTTTCTATCATAATGTTTGTTGAGATGTTTGATCATGTAAGTCAATTTTGTTTTCTATCATATGTTTGTTGAATGTTTGATCATGTTGATCATATGTTTGTTGAGATGTTTGTAATGTAAGTCAATTATGTTTTTCTATCATAATGTTTGTTGAGATGTTTGATCATGTAAGTCAATTATGTTTTCTATCATAATGTTTGTTGAAATGTTTGATCATGTAAGTCAATTTTGTTTTCTATCATAATGTTTGTTGAGATGTTTGATCATGTAAGTCAATTATGTTTTCTATCATAATGTTTGTTGAGATGTTTGATCATGTAAGTCAATTATGTTTTTTCTATCATAATGTTTGTTGAGATGTTTTGATCATGTAAGTCAATTTTGTTTTCTATCATAATGTTTGTTGAGATGTTTGATCATGTAAGTTTGTTTTCTATCATGTAAGTCAATTTTGTTTTCTATCATAATGTTTGTTGAGATGTTTGATCATGTAAGTCAATTATGTTTTCTATCATAATGTTTGTTGAAATGTTTGATCATGTAAGTCAATTTTGTTTTCTATCATAATGTTTGTTGAGATGTTTGATCATGTAAGTCAATTATGTTTTCTGTTTTCTTGATCATAATCAATTATGTTTTCTATCAAATGTTTGATCATGTAAGTCAATTTTGTTTTCTATCATAATGTTTGTTGAGATGTTTGATCATGTAAGTCAATTATGTTTTCTATCATAATGTTTGTTGAGATGTTTGATCATGTAAGTCAATTATGTTTTCTATCATAATGTTTGTTGAGATGTTTGATCATGTAAGTCAATTTTGTTTTCTATCATAATGTTTGTTGAGATGTTTGATCATGTAAGTCAAATTATGTTTTTCTATCATAATGTTTGTTGAGATGTTTGATCATGTAAGTCAATTATGTTTTCTATCATAATGTTTGTTGAGATGTTTGATCATGTAAGTCAAGTTATGTTTTTTCTATCATAATGTTTGTTGAGATGTTTTGATCATGTAAGTCAATTATGTTTTCTATCATAATGTTTGTTGAGATGTTTGATCATGTAAGTCAATTATGTTTTCTATCATAATGTTTGTTGAGATGTTTGATCATGTAAGTCAATTATGTTTTCTATCATAATGTTTTTGTTGAGATGTTTGATCATGTAAGTCAATCTATCATAATGTTTTGTTGATGTTTTGATCATGTAAGTCTATCATCATATGTTTGTTGAGATGTTTGATCATGTAAGTCAATTTTCTATCATAATGTTTTTCTGTTTTATCATGTAATTATGTTTGTCATGAATGTTTGTTGAGATTGTTGATCATGTAAGTCAATTATGTTTTCTATCATAATGTTTGTTGAGATGTTTGATCATGTAAGTCAATTATGTTTTTCTATCATAATGTTTGTTGTTGATGTTTGTGATCATGTAAGTCAAATTATGTTTTCTATCATAATGTTTGTTGAGATGTTTGTCATGTACAGTCAATATGTTTTCTATCATAATGTTTGTTGAGATGTTTGATCATGTAAGTCAATTATGTTTTTCTATCATAATGTTTGTTGAGATGTTTGATCATGTAAGTCAATTATGTTTTCTATCATAATGTTTGTTCGTGTGAGATGTTTTTATGATCATGTAAGTCAAATATGTTTTCTATCATAATGTTTGTTGAGATGTTTTGATCATGTAAGTCAATTATGTTTTCTATCATAATGTTTGTTGGA